CGGGAGTGACTTTCCTACAGCCTGGGCCCGTGGGGAAGGAGCCGTGACGGGCGCCTCGCTGGGAAGCCCCATGAAGGAAAACTGTAGGGACGTGATGTTGCAGGAGAAGCAGAGATGTGGCCGGTCCCCGTGGTGTGCAACAAACGCTGCGCTGATTTTTTTTACCTCTGGGGTTATCAAGATCAGCGCAACCCTGTTAATCTGGTACCTGGGGACACACGTGGCTCTGGCATCACTGTGTTGCCCACGTCTCCTGTGTCCCCGGGCTGGGCATGTCGGCACAGTGTCCCCATAGCTGTGGCCTGCTCCAGGGCCATCAAAATCCTGGTGCCAGTGGGACCCCAGACTGAGGAGAACTGTGCTGCCAGGGTGTTGTGCTGCTGGGGTGGTGGGACCCATCAGGAAAAGGCTTTCCCTGCACAGAGCAGGTGGCTTGGGAGCATACTTGCAGCCACACAGCCCCTGGAAGCTGCAGGAGAAATTTGCTCCTCTGTGTCTGAGGGGCTTCACGTGAGAGCTAAGCAAGACTTGTCAGGGGTCAAGACCTGCAGCTGAAATGGTTTTAGCCTCCTAAAACTCACAGTATGCTCGCAGTAAGTGTAATAAAGCTCTTTCTGTCCCTTTCTTTTTGGCAAGAGATGATCTCTGCTGGGGACAGTGGTGCTGAGTTGCCAACTCACACTCGGTGGCTGCCTGTCGAAAAGCACTAAAAGCATCGCTTACCTGTCAGGGGGGATCAGCACGGGGACGTTGAGATGGCAGCTGTGACAGTGCTATCCTCCCTGCTGCACTCTCAGCTGGTGTCTGACACGCCTGAAAGCTTTGCAGAGACTGACCAAAGGTGACAGGTAGAGGGGACCTCTCCTAGCTCTCAATCACACGGCTGTGCTGTGAAAACCTTTGCGCAGGTTGCCTTCAGATTTGCCATTCTTTGGCAGCTACAAGAGGCTGCACAGCCCTGGACTTTGCCCCCACTGTGCTTTGGTTCATGGCCCAGCTGAACCGTGCTGCCGGGCACGGGGAACCATGTGAGTGCACCGGGGTCAAGCCACAGCACTTTGGTCAAGACCAGTTTGTTGACCTTCCTGGGAAAGCCACAGTGCCCCATGCCTGACAAGCGCCCCGGATGCGCAGCAGGGTGGGCAGTGCACGCAGACACATCCGCTCAGGACTTCTGCAGCGGGCAGAGGTGCCGTGGGACAAGCTGAGCAGAAAGCACCAGTCTCCTTCCTATCAGTAGGCTGGTGGCTGTGCTTGGAGGAGTGGCAAGCACAAGAGGAGGTGAAAGGTCTTGCTGGTGGAGGTTGGGATAAGCAGAGCAGAGGTGAGAGGGAGGCAGGGCAGCCCATGGTGAAGGTTGGGAAAAGCAGAGCAGAGGTGAGAGGGAGGCAAAGGCAGCCCCGACCCAGCGGATTGGTGGTGGGGGCCACCAAGCAGCTCGTAGAGGGTCCTGCAAGTGAGCTGGGAGCAACTTTTGGCACACACGTGTATGTGGGAACAAGTGACAGATGCGCAGTTGCTGCCGTACTCCTCCTTGGCCTAAGAGGAAGATCTCAGTGGCTTTAAGAACTGCATGGACAAAAAGCACCTCGTGTTTGGGAAAAAAATAGAGCTATGATGTTTTGGCACAGCTCAACAAACCCTGATCACTCCAAACTCTGACCACACCGGGGCACACCTGATGATCCCCCAGCCACCACAGAGCTCACCTCTGCCTTGGGGCGAGAGGGCTGGCTAAAAAAATGCCGTGCGGGACTGGCACAGCTCACCACCAGGCTTGGGCTGCAACCCAGGGGATTATTCTTTTGTTGGTGTAAAGCCATGGCTGGTAGCTTAACCTGCTCACCGTGCCAATGGGTCGGGGGAACCTTGTCAAGTGAAGTGCTTTCATTTCAGCTGCTGTATAACTGACTGCAGGTGACAGACAGAGATGGGGTGTTTGTACCAGCAGCCCTCATGCTGCTCCTGCACACTTCACCTGGAGGAACGGCATACCTAAACACTGGTTTTAATATGACTTAATCAGTGCTTTCCAGGGCCTGAGTGAACTAATAGACCTTAACAGCCATGAGGACCCTCCCCTGGGCCCAATCACCCCCACCCATGTTCTGGGAGCACTATTTAAGCTCAGACCAGAGCACTCACTCCTGGTTTGGTAGTGGTCCCCGTTGATGTGAATTCTGTCCTTTTTCTGGCTGAGTCTCAGCCTTGCCTCATTACGGAGGCTCCTGACAGTCCCTTCCTGCCAAGTACAAGCTGTGCTCTGTGAACAACAGGCTGCCAGGGCTGATGGTGCCAGGGTAGGAAAGCCAGCCTGCCTGAGCACAGGGAGCTGTGGTGGTGGTTGGCAGAACCGGGGCCTCTTGCTGCAGGACGTGCAGGTAAGGCTGAGCTCCTGGGGCTGCCCCGCAGCCTGGGCAAGGCTGTGCTGCTGACTGCTGGGCTACAGGGAAGCAGCTCACTCTGCAGTATGCTGTCAGAAGCACTGGTAATGCGCAGGAATTGCAGTGTACTTGCTGTACCCCTTGAGAAGCTGAAAATCCTGTAGAGGGCTTCAGGAGCAGGCTGCTGGTGGAAGTTGCTTCACCTGTTGCCCCATCTTGGAGATGGCATGGAGGGACCAAACCCTTGGTCACACTGTCCTTTCCCCACGGCACTGGGAGCCAGGTGCCTGTGTCCTTGTTGCTTAAGACCTGCCTTCAGGTCTTAAATTGAGTGTAATAGGGAAGAGACAAATTGCTTAGGAAAGCAGAGCTCTTTATATACCTGAGGACAGAACTCAGTGAGTTCCCTCCAGACAGACATTATGGAGCAGGCTGTGCCAGGCATGCTCACAGCAGCAAAACAATCAGTATATTTACAGCATACAGATACGTGGACCATTGCAGAGAAATTTCTGCCAAGCCACAGCTACCACATACACCATGGTCTACTGCAGCAGGTGGCCAGCAAGAGCATGCAGATTCACAGTATCAGCAGTGAGCTGCCGGATGAATGTGCTGAACCTTCCCTGGGCTCTGCAGGGACTGTTTTTGTTTTGTTTTTTTCCATGGGAGAACAGTCAGTGCAGCTGCTTGGCCAGTGCATGCCCTGCCTGACAGCCCATCAGGAGTGCAAGGCAGCACTAAACATTTAAGTGCAGGCCCAAGAGCCTGCAAGCACCGCTAATGTAGAAGTCTTGTCTGGATAGATGGAGTCTAGGATGTGAATTCAAGTCCTGGTATTGCCTCTCTGTGCACGCTCAGAAGACGAGGTGCACGCTTTCCCCTTTGGGAGGGGCCCGGCCATCAGTGGCTCCAGAGCGCAAAGAGGGCAGGTGCGCTGAGTGGGGACAGCCAGCAGTACTCTACCACACTGTACAGCATGTAGCCCAGCAGCAAACCAAAGAGCACGTCTGTCATGTTGTGCCTGCCCAGCATGACCCTGGAAATGCTGACGATGAGAGCCCAGAGCACCACGAGCACCCGCAGCGGGACGGCGAGCACCAGGTGGCGTAGAATGAAGCGACAGACCAGGGCAGCTCTGGTGGCGTGGCCCGAGGGAAAGGAGTACTTGTCCACTGAGATGGTGACAAACATGTCCATCTTGTTGTGGGTGGGCCGCCGCCGCTTGACGAGCCCTTTCACCGCTGCCACCAACACGAGATCCAGCAGCAATGCTAGAAGACAGTAACAGTGAGTGAGCATCGTGGGTTGGGTTTTTTTGGGAGCTCCCCCCTCCCCAGAAAACAAAGCGAGAATCAGAGCAAAGCCATTAGCTAAGAAGAAAGCACTTAGCTACCAAAATCTGTGAAGAGAAGGCGGAATTGCAGAATTTCTCATGGCTACAACACCCAGGTAAGGAGAGCATGGAAGTCATCCAGCACTTGGCCTTCTCCAGCGTGAGCACATCTTCCATCTTTGCTCTTGCCTGCACGCAGCCCACATGCAACACCAGACCCTCTGCCTGCCACAGCAAACAACAGGGGTCTGCCCAGCTTGCACCCAAGAGCTTTTCTTTCTGTGTAGAATTTGATCTCACCACGACCCAGGGCTCAAAGTGACCCTTAATCTGGAGGCAACAAAGGGGTTAATGTTCCCCACGACTCCCTTTGTGTGCTGATTCAACATTGCCTTTGCCTACCCTCACGGCCAGGGTCAAACTGCCATGGGTGAATGATCAACCCACTTCAGCCACAGCTCGGTGTGAGGGGCTCTGAGCCGGTGAAGTGCCAGGGCTCTGCAGTGTGGCTTCTTCCTGCTTCTGCAGGGATTAGTGCCAGAAAGTTAACCGTGATTTGTTTTTCAAGAGTTGAATGAAAGATGATTTAAATAATGGTGGCTTGCCCCCAGAGAGCTGCTGTGGTAGAAGTCTGAGGTGAAGTACCCGTGAGAAGGGTGCCTTCTTCACGCTTGCTAGCTCTGCTAGCACGGTGCTCACAGCCAGCGCTGCTGCTTCCAAGGAAGTCTGTGAGACACTGACTTCTGCTTGACCTAAGGCTTGTTTCTGGACACCAAATCTTTTGGCCACTCCAATTCATTCCCTTTAGTTAATCGTTTAAGAACGAATATTTTCTTTTTTTTTCCCCATTTGTAAACCCAGTTCAATTGCTTTTTCTTTTACATATGATTTGGGAGCTTCAGCTTGGATGTTAAGGAACATTCCTTTCCCACATGGGTGCCCCAGTCCTGGGACAGGGTCCCAGAGAGGTAGGTGGCTCTGGGCCAGAGTGCTGAGGGCTGGACAAGACCCTTGTGCTGGGACAGATCTCCTTGGGGCAGAAGGTAGGTTGGAGGCCTCCAGGTCCCTTCCCAGCAAGCAAATTTTGATTACAATTCCAAGTGTGAAATATCAATTATCTGCAACTTAATAAAAGAACAAGGACTAGGAACTTGAAAAGGTCTGTTGCTCTGGAGCTATGTTGCTAAAGAAGGGGGAATAAGCAGGATGAACTAGAAATGTGGGTGCAGTCGAAGAGCTATGATCTCATTGTGATTACAGAGACGTGGTGGGATATCTCACACAACTGGAATGTGGTAATGGATGGATATCTGCTTTTCAGGAAAGCTAGACCGACAAGGCGTGGTAGTAGAGTTGCTCTCTATGTGAGTAAGCAACTGGAACACATTGAGCTTAACCCAGTCAGAGAGAATGAGAGTATTGAGAGCTTATGGGTAAGAATTAAGGAACATATAAACATGGGAGATATTGTGGGTGTCTGCTACAGATGACCTAACCAAGAAGAAGTTGTTGATGAGGCCTTCTACAGGCAGCTGGAAGAAGCCTCAAGATCACGTGCCCTGCTGCTTATGGATGACTTCAATATTAATTGGAAGGATCACACAGCCAAGCATAATCAGTCCAAAAGGTTCCTGCAGTATATTGAGGACAACTTTCTGCTGCAGGTGGTTGAAGAATCAGTGAGGAAAGGTGCGATGCTGGACCTTGTATTAACAAACAAAGAAGGTCTGGTCATGGATGTTAAGATTGGAGGCCGTCTTAGCTGTAGTGACCATGATATGCTAGAATTCTGTATGGTTTGGGAAAAAAAAAAAGAAGAAATTTCTGCCCTGAACTTGAAGAGCGCTAACTTTGTCCTCTTCAGAGATATACTCAGAAGTATCCCATGGGCTAGGATTCTATAAGGTAGGGGGGCACAAGAGAGCTGGTCAACATTCAAACTCTACACCAGGCTCAAGATGAATGCGTTCCCTGAAAACGAAAATCAAGTAGAGGAGGCAGGAGACCTGCATGGTTAAGCAAGGAGCTCCTGGAAAAACTCAAATGGAAGAGGGAAATTTACAGTAAGTGGAAAAAGGGTCTGGTTAACTGGAAGGATTATAGAAATGCAGCCAGAGTATGTAGAGAATCAACAAGAAAGATCAAGGCTCTCTTGGGATTTAGTCTGGCTAGGGAAGGGAAAGAAAACAAGAAAAATTTCTTCGAATAAATCAATAAAAGAAGGAAGAGTAGGGGAAAAGCGGGTCCACTGCTAAATGAGGCGGGAGATATGGTAACAGAGGATGTAGAGATGGCAGAATTACTGAATGCCTTCTTTGCCTCAGTCTTTACTTGTGAGGCCAGCCCCCAGGAATTCCAGTCCCTAGAAGTAAGGGAGCAAAACTGGAATGAGGATGACTCTGCACCGGTCAGTGAGGATTTGGTTAGAGAACGATTACAAAAACTGAAAATGCACAAATCCATGGGCCCTGATGGGGTGCATCCACATGTGCTGAGACAGTTGGCTGATGTTGTGGCTGGGCCCCTCTCTATCAGTTTTGAAAAATCATGGGGAACAGGAGAGGTTCCTGAGGACAAGGCTCCTCAACTCAGGAGAGACAGGGACCTATTGGAGAGAGTCCAACAGAGAGCTATGAGGATGATTAAGGGACTAAGTCTCTCTATGAAGAGAGACTGAGAGAACTGGGGCTGTTTAGCCTTGAAAGGAGACAGCTGAGAGGGAATCTCATTAATGTACATGAATATCTGAGGGGTGGGTGCCAAGAGGAAGGAGACAATCTCTTCTCAGTGGTACCCAGCAACAGAACGAGAAATAATGGGTTTAAGTTAGAACATAAGAAGTTCCACCTCAACATGAGGAGAAACTTATTTATGTGAGGGTGACAGAGAACTGGAACAGGCTGCCTGGAGAGGCTGCGGAGTCTCCTTCTCCGGAGGCTTTCAAAACCCACTTGGAGGTGTTCCTGTGTGGCTGCCCTGGGTGATCCTGCTCTGGCAGGGGGGTTGGACTAGATGATCTCTAGAGGTCCCTTCCAACCCCGAACATTCTATGATTCTATGATAAATGAGCAAAAATTAAGAATGTAAGTATACCTAATAGGACAGGATGCTAGTGAGAAGTACTATTGCACCACACAAGATGAGAATGCATGCTTTAAGCCAAGTTTCATCACTGGCTGATACAGATCCACACAAGTACAGTGTGTAGATATGTGTGTCAGCAGCTTTTCAGGGAATGGGCTGGTGTCAACACTAGGCAGGTGCACCTGAAATGAGCTGTTCTGATAAGCCAAAGAATTAAAAAATCAGTTCCTGGAAAAGTTTTGTGCAACCGCAGGAGCAGTTTAGCTGCCAGGAATTTCAGCGTGTGGTTGGAGTTGCAGCAGAT